GCTGGCTACTTGGCTAATTGCCATTTTTCTAGCTCGGTATTCAAAATTTTCATTATGTCTGGCTGGGAGTTTTATGAAATAAAGTCGATCTTGCTAGCACTGAAGAGCGGATATTTTTTTCCCAGGAAAGTTGCTTATTAATGGTAATTGACGTGGGAGCACAGAATCAGTGCTTGAGAAGTCACATATTAAATTTCCAGTTAAAGTGTCGTTGGGTACTCCTGTATTATTAACCATCTTCAATTAAAAAGTGCAGTAGTCAGTTTCATTAATGCCCAAATGCCCAAGAACTGGGAAAATAGCGTTTTGCGTGCGTACTTCCATACTCACGTGTCTTTTCCCGAGGAATCTAATGCGCGCGCAACGAGAAAATTGCAGTTCTGGTGGATGTCCGATTCTCTAACTCGTGTGTTGCGAAAATATTTGTTGAAATTATGGGAGAGGAAATGGTAGTTTAAACTGGTTTGTTCTCTGAGTGAATAGAACGTCATTGCAGAACAGGGAAGAACATGTAATGATCAAGATGAACCGGATTTATCAGACTTCATTCAAGGAAGCAGGCTCTTCGAGAGAGCGGCGGAAATCGGACCTATCAAGAAAGCAAAGCAGAAGTCATTGACCTTGTAGCTAGAGCTACTAATAGTCGCAATGAAGTCATAAGGACTGATAAGTGACAAGCTAAGCTAAACAATTGACCTCGAACAAGCAGGACAGGAAGTTACTAAGCGTTGCAGTCAGGTAACAACTTTAATCGGATAAAGCGCGCTAAATTACATTTACGCATATAATCGAATCGTTTTTATCTCTTACGACCTCAAGCCACTTTTTCTGTGGTGGCACAACTTCGCAAATGACACTTAAAACAGCGTTACATCTGGTGGCATTTCTAATCCAGGGGAATTTCATAAAAGGGGAAAAGAAATTAAGCAATGCTCTTCACAAGCTCCTCAGAAAAATCCAACCCGGGCCAACCAAGTCATAGAGCCAAAATCACGAGATTCTGACTGCACTAACACGAGACATTCAATGTGAATGATTGAGGATGCGTAAGTCAGTCATCTGATATAGAAGAATCAAAAAAGAGAACGAACACGAACACAAGACCGTGACTGACTATCCTAGAATGACCTAAATCTCCCACCAAATGCCTAAATAGTCCCTAAACGTCCAGGGACACCCCGCGAACCTCTCCATCGTACCGTCAGAATGATAATTTCTGACTAATTCGTCCCTCAATCGTCAGAAATTACATCTTTCACAAACAGCAGCGCTTTTGTTATGATTTCGTGGGTCTCATTTCTTGTGCGATTACGTTCCCGCTAATCGCGAGCGCAACTAAATGGCTCCAACCAATAACTGGCAACATTCGCCTTGCGCGGGAAAACGCCCTCAAGAAGCCAAGTTCAGGAATTTTTGCTCTTTTGGTCAAAGTGCTTCTCACAAACGCTAAACCAAGGCAGATACAGGACTACTGTCGAAATTAAATCGAAAACCATAATGATAATAAAAGTCGGAAACAGGTTTGTATTAAAATGTCAGAACTGTCAACCAGAGATGAAAGAGTTAACTACATAAAAGACTGAAGTTCCTTGTAAGTTTACTTAATTTATTTCTTCAACATGAAATAAAAGTTTTGTACAGCACTATTACACTAACGCTATTTACAACAAACATATTATCACTGATCACCTTGTACCTCGGAAGAGGAAAGTGTTACAACAAGAACAGTCACGCAATGCACTGACCCAAACAGAGTTCTTTCTCTGTGTCATGTCACACTGCAATAAGGCATCACGTGACAGGGAGAAATAACAGTGAAAGGCCCAGACTACAACCGAGCGGCTTGGTTAACAGGTCGAACTTCGGTTCGCCACGGGAACATAATACAAAACAGTGGCATCACGTTGGGAAACGCAGAGTAAGAACGTTTTCGAAATTTCCAGTGTAACGGAAACCAACACACACTTGTCAAAAATCAATCAAAATAAATTATTGTAAGCCGCGGTTCCCAGTAAATCGTTCAGAAAGTGATTCTAAACACTTCAAATAAATATTAAGTTTGCAACGTGTTTTATGGTTATAAATAGCCGAGAACGGCCACAAAATGATCTAGTAACTGCCTTTAATTAAAGGAATAGGAAGGGTTCTGAGGTGCTCCGCACCAGTTCCCCAGAAAACGCAGTACATCCTGGCACTCGGGGCTGTGAGAAACCTGAAAAAGAGAATAAGAAAGACATTTCAGGAAAAGGTGCTTTCCACTGATTCGTTACCGCGACCCTGGTACATCCAGGGAAGAGTTTCACATGACACAAGCTAAACGAAAAAGTTTCTTTTTTTTTTAGCCTGGAGGGGCTAATTAACGTACTTAGTCTACACTGTGTGGCTATTTTGAAGTACTCGATAAACAGAAAGATCTAAAACATCTGTAATCGGTAGATCACATGGAGCATGCGCACCAAACCCACCTTGGTTGCCATGATAAACTTGTTCCAGTCCTCTTTATTAGCAGCTTTGCCCGGCCGTTTGAACTCGATTTTGTTTCGTAGAACAGGATATCCTAAAACACAAGAGGAGACTTTGTGGTTTGCTACCCTGTTCTAGCTCTCTTATCTTTTACGAAGTGAAATAAATCATCATGTTATCACCTGTTATGACACAGGGTGGTGATGTAATGCCAGTGTTAACAGCCACAAGGCATGCCTCATATGTGTCACGCTCATCTGTCGGCAAAACTTGTTCCACCTGTCACAAGTTTGAGGGATCAGAATTAGACAATGGGAAATACACATACTTTTAAAGACGAAAGACAAAGTCTTTCTCCCCATTTCAAACACACCATCTTTCATACATTCACTTGCAAAGGCACATACTGTAGTGGTAAAGAAAAGAAGTCTTCTTCTATATTTTCTGGACTATATTATCTTTTCAATCATTTCATTCACGCCAAGTGGACTCTTCTTCCACCCTTTCCATACACAAAACAAATCAAAACAACAGTTAGTGCCTTTCGCGGTCAGGGAAAATACGGGCTGTTCGAGTATTTCAAGACAGGTTCTAAACCAACCTTTTGATCCATTGAAACAGCTAACACCCACTCCTTGACTTCCTCGCGTTTTTCTTCCTGAAAACAACATGCGCCGTGGAGACAAAATATGTTATCACGTGTAGTTAATAAAAATTGATGTTACACTGAGTCGGAAAAAGGTTAAAATCTTGTTCTACTGTATTCACGATAATGCCTTGAGTTGTAACTAATCTTTAATTGTTGTCTTAGACATCAATCGAATTTTTTTTTTTTTGCTGATTTCCCAACTCACCGGTAAATGTTGTTTTTCAGGAACAGGGACCTCAAATGGAATATCAGTGTCGGCAAAATCACTGTTATCCAACATGTCCAGACTACCTTCCTCGATACCCTGAAGACACAAACAAGAAAATCAACTTCAAAAATATGACGAAAATAACAGGCATCTGTGAAGCATTTACCTTTCCAGTCAAAGCAACTTCATTTTTTCAATGAGTTTAATAAGTGACTCACCTCACTGAGATCAAGGTAACGGTTAAGGAATACAAAAGCCATATTGTCCCAGCCAACGGCCTGCCAGGAAGGAAATAACACTGTTATTTCTCTTCGTAATAGTACACAATTTAGAGCTTGTCCAAGCCTTCTCGCGACCGCGCGCACCAAAAACACACGAAAGGCTGATTTCCAGATTACAAAAAACTACAGGTAAGGTTATGAGACTGATAAGTGATCAGAATGTTGAATACATTGCTTACCTTAGCCGTAACTCCAGCTTCGTAAAAGGCTTTATCACAAGGAATAACATCGGAATGTCGGAGAAGGGAAATCGACAATTTGGCCGCAAGGGTATCCTGTTGACAAAAAAGAAAAGTCGAGAGTCATAACCTGGAGAACTTTAAGTTCCATCTGACGGGAATAACATTGAGACCAATGAGCGCAAAAAGCTAATGTTAACGTCATACTGAGGGAATGACAAAGTTAGTGACCGCTTACCAGTGATTTGTGTTGCATGCAGGCGCATCTGGTGCTGTAATAATGGATGACCTCCAACATAACCTCAAATTCTTGAGCCTGCGGTGTACCAGCAGCTGATCCCTTACTCAAACCTTCAACCTAAAATAATCAACAACAGGTCACACTCTGGATAAAATAAGGCTCAGTCGGCGAAAATCTAAAAATCAACACAAAAAAACCGAACAAAACCCTTCAGGGATTTCCATCCATACTTCGTAAACCTCCGAACATGATACAAAAGGTGCAATGAAGATATTGCACTTACAATCTCAAACAGCACATCTCTCAGGTCAGCCCACGTGCGGTAACTGTCAGCAGATCTCAGTCCAGGCATTGATATAACGTCCGTTATAATCCTCTTGTAGATATTGAAGTTCTGTTGGTAAGAATAAAGGAAAGTGTCTAAGTACTAGCTTACTCTCCACCTGTTTAACAGAATTCAATCTATTCGTAAATTGTCAAGGCTTTATAGCTCACGCGGATGGAAAGTGAAACTGTATCTCAAAGGTTAAAGCCTGAAAGCTTCCTTTTTAGCAGGGTGGTGAGGGGGCTGAATAAGGCAACTCTGAGAGGTTTTATCTGCATATGAATTAATCTGTTCTCAGTTGAGAAAATACCTTACGTTCAACAGGATTCCATTCTGAAAGTAACCAACACCAACACTTTTCTAGGAACCAAAACATGCTATTGTTGTTTATTCACCATCCTAACTGTGAATCCAAGCTATTGAGGGTTCGCAATGCTTTCTAGATAAGCATTAGTTGTAGCAAGCCAAAGTTTAAATATTTCTTGAAACACTAATTGATGAAAGGAGTTTACCTGAGGATTAGCTGGAGCACCGTATCTACCGAACAGGTCCAAGGCTTTCAGCGTGTTACCATCTTTGATCAGGTTAGCAGCGTACAAGGCGACGTATTTACTGAGAACTTCGTAGCCCTGAGGACAAAATGATGGAAGGTAACGTGACAAAATGTCACACAACAAAGAGTTTTGTCACTGAGGAGTATTGTCACAACGTAAGATCGCGTAATCCTAACATAACACGACTACCACAACTCTCACCACTATAGCTAGTCGTCTATTGGCCCGCTAGAGAGCTATAAAGTTACAAGGAAAAACGTCACGTAACACAATTAACATGTTGCACCCAATAACGTATCGTCACGAGATAACGACAACTAAAGCAAAAAGATGTCACGTAACGCAACATGACACAACTTGTTGTCGTAACGTAACGTTATGTACCGAAAAGCTCGTAAAAGTGACATAATACAACATCACGTCGGAGCAAGGTGTAGTGATGTCATACCTGCTGCTCGGCGGTTTCAATAGCTTTATCCCACTGTCCTCGTTGAACCATCATATCAAGACCCGCGATAACATCCACGTCGACGAGCTAAAATAACAGCGGTGCGGTGAATAAATCAGAGTTTGAGTTGAAGTTACAACTGACAACACGGCTTGAAAGTCATCGCATATTTGGCAGTAAACCCAGTAGACCCGAATTCATACAATAATTTTGTATTCTATATTAAATTTCCAAGCCAATTAAGTGTCTGGGCATACAATATAATAGTTATCAAATACCTTCTCGTGATATACTGTAAACATCCTACTTATGAAATGAGAAGACGAAGGGTAATTTTCTTATCTTTCATACTCTCTTGTAGAAACCAAACCCGTGCCGATGGACGTATCTCCAAACTTTGAAGTTTCTTAATCCATTTGTTTCATGTTATCAAAAATCAAACCCAATTGAGACTTTTCCCTAAGAGACTTGCTACGGTCACTTAAACTCACATTTCACCAGTGAAGAAATGATTTTGCTGACCTGTTCAGCCTGTCCTTTCTGTTTCAAGAATGCAACGTAAGCATCTTCCACATATTGCTCGTATCTAACACAGACGGAGAAGCAATACTTAAGAATAATAATTAGAGAGAGCTGTAAAGTAACATAACATAACCTCACGTAGCGTAACGTAACGTAACGTAACATAACATAAAGTCACATTGATAACGTATCGTCGAGAGTTCAAGACAAGAAAAAGAAATGAAAACCATGAACAAAAAGATGCGTGGTATACATAGCATGCCACGCCCTAAATCAATGATAAAATAAGAAACAAAATTGCCACGTACTTTGGCGCCATTTCCGCCGCGCATCTCTTGGCTTTGGGCCACAGTTCACCCTGGATGTAAACATCAATGGCTTCTTTAACCATCTCAACTCCAAGATACAATTCACCAGCCTGAAAGAAAAAATGTAAAACAAATCGGATCTTTGAGCTTCGCTGCTTAGTGCAAACACTATAACAGAGAAGTATGCCTACAAGTTGAAACAATTTCCAATCCCACCTTGCCATACATCAGCTTACATTTATTTCTCACAAAGAGTCTTCAAATCAAATACATCTACGCTAACCCTTTTCACGACAGGGTCTTTGACTTTCTATAAATGAGGGAATTCAAACAACAAATGCGTAAGTATACCACAGACCTGTTCATAGCACTTGATCTCTGCCAGTCTTGGACAGGCAATCTTCGCCACATCATAAGCTCGGTCACTAACGAATTTCATTGCTAGTTCGACTGCCTGAAAATTACACCACAACAGCAATCAATAAATAACACTGAATTACTCATTTTGCTATTATATTCGATGCACTGAGATAAGCAAATGAAATTATTCTTTCTGTGGCTGTGGGTCGGTCTGTCTGTCTGTCCGTCGGTCTGTCGGTCTGTCGGTCTGTCTGTCTGTCTGTCTGTCAGTCTGCCTGTCTGCCTTTCTGTCGACCTGCCTGTCTGTCTGTTGGGCAGTCGGTTGGTCGATGTGTCTGTCTGCCTGTCTGTCTGTCCGTCCGTCCGTCCGTCTGAGGTCTCTCTCTGAACCCGATTTTGCTTTCGATTTCTCGCTCCAGTTATAGACAAACTAATCTTAGATCACGATACAATGAGCGTAGGTGGGTACATCATTCAGATTTCAAACAAACGACACTAACCTTCACCATGGCATCCTCCACTAATTCATGATCAGTGGTCATGTTGGGTGTGATCTTTATGTACATATCAATAGCTCTATTGTACTCTCCTTTCTTTTCCCAGTCTTTTCCTTGACTCAGTAACGACTCTGCCCCTCTGATAAAACAACACAATGTATCAGTTACTCACTAGACTACGAGACAAATACCGTTTTAAAGGACAACTCCACAGTTAAAAATTAATTCCTTCTGTTAATTAAAATAAACAATTAAAAATATAGTTTGAATATTTTCGTTGTCAAGACGTATCTGCCATTTCGTGTTTACAATTTCCCGCGCATGCTATTTTGGAACCCAGACGTCACACTGTTACCCACAATGCCACAGTATGTGACGTCACAAGATAGCACTGGACAGCAGTATGGTACCTGTTTCCTTTAGACATAACCTCTCTGTCGTACTCGTCTTGCCATTGTTCCAGCTATTAAAAGAGAGTATGAGAGAAAAATATTACATACTTGACTAAGTCTTTATTACAGGAACAAATTAATTACAAAGCTTCGCCTTTTTCATACATTCTGATTAAAGCTCTGGTCCCTTCTTTCTAGTTTCGGCATAGTTATGGTTTCGGACACTGTGCATACCTTATGAGGTAAGTATTCCTTCACAACACGGAGAGCATCTGTCCACATGCCGGCTTCCTGGAATCCAGAAAACATTAATAAAACCTTAAAAAACCTGAACGCACAACAGGAATGTTTTAATTTTTATGATTCGGTTTAACCATGGATGTCCACCGAGTATCAGAGTCAAAGAACCGTTATCACTATTCAGTGTTGAACTTACTGGGACAAGACACGCGTATGTCAGTCTCAGCTGATCCTGGTTAACTTACCTTGTAATAACGCGCGGCTAGTTCTGGTCTTTGAGCTCGCAGAAGAAACGTCTCCGATTTTTGGTATTCTTTTTTGTCAAATGCAACACGGGCCTAAAATTAAAAAGTGAATCATAATGAGCAAGTTAATAAGTTGAATAAGAAAATATTAAAGGATAAGAAGCTCTCCAATTTTGAGGAATGCCAAAATTTTACCGGAAGCCGTTATTTTAGGCGATTGTGTTACATTCGAAAGGATGGCTAAATATGATAAACCCTCTGAATAAACGCTTCAAATGATAGAAAACACAACAGAAATGCCAGTCTGTCCACGAATGGCACGGATGGTCAAAATTTGGAAAGATGAAAACGGATTAGAAAAGGCGGCCATACCTGTCCCACTAACACGTCAGTAACACTGTCAGGATCATTCTCCTCTGCCACTCTCTGAGCACTGTCCCAGTCCTGGTTGTGGACATACCTAGAACAAGAGGTCATCGAAAACAAAAAAAAATTCTCTGGTTTAGTTTTTTCACCAAGTTCGTAAAATATAGGTCCAGAGATTTGGAATCTGTTTAACAAATAGATTCCACGTTGTCGTGCGTCTGTTCAGCAAAAGATCACAGATGACGTCAAAACTTGGGAAGAACAAAAACGTGAAACACGAACCCTCTGAACCGGAGGCGATAGCCGAGTGTGCCATTGATATTCTTACCTCATTTTGACGTTTGCTGTGATCTCTTAGTGAACAGACGAACAGCAACATGGAATCTACTTGTTTTATATAATAAGGAACCAAAAACGACATGTTAATGACGTTATCTATGCGTCTGTCTTCCGATAGATCATAAGTAAGAACCAATCAAAATGTGAGAATTATTCGGCATATTATATAATGCCATAAAATCCACTGGGCTGCGAATGGTGTTCATGTTCTTGGTCAGTTAACTTGCCAAGTAAAATAAAAACTTTCAAGTTTAAGTCACATTATTTTCTGATTTTCTGATGGGAAGATATGACTTCGTACCACACTTAGACCCTTTTTTGCCCAAACAACACTAAAATTATCAACACTCTTACAGGAAACCAAGATCCACATTAACTTAACTTCACTGATGATTACAAATTGAATTTCATTTTAATAAACTCACATGAGCACAGCCTCTTTGGATTTGCCAGCTTTGATGAATTCTTGTTCAGCTTCTGTAAACTTGCCCTCATCCTCCAGGAACATAGCGTACTTGAGATGAATGTCTGGCAACTTGGATTTCATCGCCGTTCGGGACAAGTCGAAAGCGAATTCAAAAGCACTGAAAACAAAGTATACCTCTTGTTACAGTTGAATATTACGCTATAACAAAAATCATCTTTTCACTACTGTGTATAAGACAATCATTGAAGTAGCACTCCTTACCAGTTCTCTGCGGCGTAATCTATTGCAGACTCCAGCAGACCAAACTTGGTTAACAACTTTACGGCAGAGTCTCCTCCTGACAAAAATAAATCAGGATTTAATAATCAACAGTGAACGAAATAATGCCAGATGGAAATGTAAAACGAGCAAGAGGAAAAAACAATAACAGACAAGAGAATCAACAAGTACCTATTTAAAATCACAACTGAGATATAAGTTTGTTCTGCACAAACTTACCTAAACTCTTTGCCCACAGGTAAGCGACTTGTTTAGAAGCATTTTGACTTCCATGTTGTTTGGCAACCTAAAGAAACCGCGTACAATGAATTAACTTAGTTGCTCACTTATTAGCGTGGGCCAATTATTTTCCCGGCTCGTCTGGTGGCCGAGCCTAATTTGACAAACACCGAAAATATAACGTATTGGGTAAATGTAACTAAATCTTCACTTTTCCTCTTCTCGTTATTCTTTTCGGCGTACAGATATTCTAAAACCACGAAAGACTAATACAGACGGCATGAAATGGGATTCCGCCCACTCCCCACTGTGAGAAAAGTAATTGCTCTCCTACCCTCCCCTCTTCAAATACACGAACATGACTGACCCTGTATGCCTCCTCCCACATGTCTTGATTCCTATACATGTTCACGGCTGCTTTCCAGTCCCTCGCTTCCAAGAAATGATGTTCAGCTTGACGCAGTTGACCTTCAGCCTCCAGTTCCTGTACAAAGAGAGTCGAATGCGCATGGGCATGAATGAACACGTGAGATATAAGTTTGACCGCTGGTCCTTCCAGAACATCTGTGTTGACAGAAACAAAACTGAACAAGGAGTTTGAACAATGTGTAGCATTTACCTTTGCCAAGTGGATGTGCGTGTCTGGGAGCAGATCTTCGTGGTGAATAGCGACAAGCCTGATCATGTTGTCGAACTACCAACAGTAGAGGAAAGAGTCAATTAACATAAAACACCACACGCAAAATCCAAACGCTTTTATGCACCATAGGAGGAGATCGGATTTTTTAACCCGGGCTAGGTCTGATAGATGTGGATGGGGTTTCAGTTTTCCAACGTAAGTTTGAGATGCTTAATTTTCAAATTCGTTGTTTTGGTAAATTATTTACGGTAGCCTTTATTTTGGGATAGATTCAGCGGCTCATACAATTGTACCAGAGAGGAAAAACTTATTTTGCCGTTTGGGATGGAGCAGGAAAAATAGACACTTCATACCCCTGATAAGGAGTAAGGACATGCAGATCTCATTGGAGGACCCCCTACCCCTCCCCAACAGTTCCTGAGGCAAAACAGCTGAAAAAAAATATATATACAGATAAGTGTACACATACTTTTACAAAATAATTTAAATCAAAAAGATCCACGAAGACATTTACCTGGCGATGTTTCTTGTACATATTGATGGCCAAGTCTGGCTCCTCAACAGTGCAATATAATCTAAGAGAAATTCAAAAGGCATTTACTAGTTGGGATTACTTGTTTAAATATCAGCTGCAGAAAATTTATATTCCCATGACCTTAATGATCAACAATATATTGATTACAAATGAATATATAATAGATCAATCCTATCTTCAAATTTATTGATTGTGAAGAGAAATTAGCTGTTGGTTATTCTCGGGATTAATATCATTACGTGAAGTTTATGTTGAAAGAAATTTGTTTTTTAAATTCTTTTTTAACGTTACTGTCACTTTAATTAGGCGAAGAGCCAGAGACTTTTATCACGAGTGATGAGCGAATTACTTCTCGGCCTCCTTGTATTTGCCTTGCGCTTCCAGCTCTTGAGCCTGCGATATGTAGATGACAGCTACTTCCTCTTGTGTCATGCACTGAACTGCAAGCTGCGAATATTCAGAATAAAAACGATTTAGCCTTCATCTAAAAACAATTTGTTAGCGCTGGTAACAAATTGTGGTAACAACATTTTTGAAGAATGAAGTAAAGACAATGAGAACTATCAAGGAATGTTACCTTGTGCGCAGCCTCGTACATGTTAGCCTTGGTGTACATCTCAATAGCAGCCCGAGGGTCCCCTCCCTTGACAAAATACTTCTCTGCAAGCTGAAAACCAGAACAAAGCTTTTTAGTGAGCACATATAGTCATTACAATAAAGACCTTGAGTGCGAATTTGGCATACATACCTTGTACTCTTGAACTTGAGAGTAGTGTTGAGCAATATGGTGATAATACCTGGACATAGGAAATGTGAAATAATAAACTGTGGTCCATTGGAAACTTGCAAGGCACTTGCATGGCAACTTCTAAGAGACAGAATAATTTGCTGGGGCAGTTGTAACGTGCCAGTCCAGAGTTCAACCCCCTTGGCCGCGCTTTGCAAGTAACGAACTTGCCAGCTGGGATTCGTAAAATGTTCTTGTTCAACATAGTGGTCAGTTCCGACAATTTACCAAGACAGGTCCAACGGAACTTTGTAACTTTACTCTTACTAACCTTTCGGCCACATTATCATCCTGCAGCTCAACAATCTGAACAGCTTTGTTCCACTGACGAGCTTGAATGGCTGCCTCGATAGCCTTGATTGAACATCTGAGAGAAAATAGAGTGAAAGTTCAACATTAGTTGAAACCTGAAATCACAAATCTGTTCAGTGAAACTTCGTTATCTGTTTTAGTTTGCCCCTGATTACATTTCCTGGACCCCACTCTAGCAAACAAACTGTTAAGGCAATCAATTTAAGTCATCACAACACTAAAATATAAAGAAATAACGATCATCACAAAATTGAATTTTTAATGTTGTGATCACAGGTGTTCTGAGTCTATTCCAAACGTTCTCTCATAAGAAGTCAACAAGCGAGCCCAGCCTTTTTGAGAAACTCTTTTTCACCCTCCTTCCAGGGGAAGTCAAAAGGGGTTCTGCTCACACAGTGGAAAGGAGTTTAGAGGGAAGAACATTGTCTCGTTTCCATGTTGGATTTACTCACCCAGCCTCGATGTAGTGATTGATAGCAGCATCCAGTTGTTTCTGGGAAACCAGGTAATCGCCCCAGTCCTCCTCTAGTTTTACAACCTCTCGAGGGAATGCCACCCGGGAAAGCTCCACAGCTGGACAGAGACAAAAGGGAAACAGAAAGATACAGCCACTGAATAATCAGGGGTTAATAACAGAGAGTGCATGTATAAGAGTAAGAGGCTGATTTGAGGGTTTTCACTGTGTAAAAACAAAGAAATGTTTCGTACCTCTCCTATATGCATTCCCTTTGCGATATGAATCCATCGCAAGGTCATTCTTGCCAACTTTCTCGTAGAGCTCTCCAGCCTAAAAAATGACCAAGAATTATACGAGTACATACAAAGGAACAAGTAACCACGTTAACTTAATCAGTAACTTCAATAACATGGCAAAGCAAAAGATTTGTTTGTAAGAAATTTACCTGTTCATACAGTCCTCCCTTAAGAAGAGCAGCTGCAATCCTCCCGAGCAAGTCAGAAGAATTGATTAACTCCTGTCAAGAGGGAAAAACATTCACGTTAACGTCGTGCAGTCCAATCAACTGATGAACATTTCTTAATTATGCTATGAACTCGATGTACACCGCAGTCTCTCCTTGAGAGCTCTCTAACAAGAAGCGTCCTCTTTAAGGAGCTCAGTCACGGTATTTTGGCCACGTACAAAATGACCTTTAAATTGAAGGAAACCTGAAAATAGTAGTTTACTAAGATAGAAAAACACTCATGAGATACTACTAAATCATAAAGGAACAAGGATGATTGAGGATGGAGAAGATTAACACGGATTACAAACGACGAACTTGAAAATTTTAGGCTAAATTTTTTAAGATGCGCAGCCAGCCGTGACGTGGCTCCTTTAAAAGAACGTCCCCTCCTTCCCTTGATGAAACAAACAGCAAGCCTGACAGACCCACCTCTCTGCTCATAGCCAGTCTCGCAGCCTTGGCAGGTAGACCAGCCTTCAGATACAAGTTGATAGCCTCCATATAGTTTCCTTCTCTCTCTTTCACCTACGGGCCAGAATCAAAGAAACAAAAAGGTCAAACAGAGACATTTCAGCTCACTGGAAACAATGCTTTTGAAAAGCGCACTTGAGGCATAGTTTCCTTCGACGTATTGGTTTAGGTAGCCAATTTAGACTCGTAAGTACTTAAAAATAGTTTCTTTAACTAAGGTTACGTCTGTAGGCTATTTCTAACAGTTGGAACTGCAGAAAGCTTGAGACAGTAGTGCCAAACATTGCACCATAAGACCCGATATAAACCTGCCAGAAGAGGATTGAATCGCTACCGTATCTTAAACTTCTAACGGATTCAAAGAGCACAGATTTCCACTGTTGACCCGAACATGTGCTTTGTGATGGACGTACCTCTCCAGCCTTTTCCTCTTGTGCTGTCTCCGAGAGCCACTGGTAATGATTAGCACGTAAATTATCCAGCTCTGGATGGCCCTAATATTAAACATAAAACGTATTAAAACGAGACTAGTCGCAAGAGAAAACAGCGGAAAACATTTCCACATGGGCTAAAATGTTTGCAAAAACCTGGAAGATTGAACCACAAAACCCGAGTTTCTTCAGATGTTACTTACCAACGTAATGACTACATGCTATCACCATGAGCATTGAACAGCTTTGGTTAAAGAAATTCAGAATTGCATGCAGACTCACTTGACCTCATTTAAATCTCATGTGAAATGTCCTTATTAAGCACGTTATAGCCTTCGTAATATTCGTTTTGAGAATTAGTTTGAATATCAATACGAGAATGAGATAATACATCACATTATCTTCCGTAAACTGCAAAATCAGCATCCAGCCGTCAGCTGTTGGGCGTTTCAGTGTTGTGATCAACGTTTGCTGATTACCATACCACGTGGTCTCCCATACCAAGTGGGTCTTCCCCGCCCCACAAATACTCACTGCCCCCTCAATGGAATTAACAGCATGTTCTCCATACCTTGGCTTGAGCTACAGCAATAGCTTCGTCCCACTTGTGCAGTTCCTGGTACATCTCAATGGCTTCATCCACATAGCCTTGCTCAAGAAGAATGCTCTCAGCCATCTTGAAGTTCTTGTCCAGCACTGCCAGCCTGGCTCTTACTTTCACGTGATTTGTACCGTCACCACCCTGGTAAACACAAAAGCAAAGCTTAAAATTCTCAATTCAATCCCCTACTACCGTTTTCTAAATATAAATCTAAATCTAAATCTTTACTGTGCAAGAAACTCCTAAGCGGAAGATATGCACCCAGAGACACGGTCAACAGTTTCTTAATCGTGTATGTGGTTATGTCTTTATAAATATTAGGTCATTAATGTCAGGGTCCCGTAAAGGAAAGGCTTTAAGACATTCAGTAAAGGAACCATAATGAATATATTGGGGTAGATAGTTCCTCTCTGGTATGGTGGGAAGAAAGCTTATCTATAACAGTTCTTGTGTGTGTGGACGTTTCCATAATGGTGCTGTCCAGTGGATTGTCTGATGGTGCGGCCACGTTCAACTAAGACGAGAGCCTGAAGATTCTGGACAGGACAATTAGCACTTGATGGATGAATCGATATTCAGTTAAAGCAGTTAGGCTTACCATTTCTTCTGCAGATTGCTCAGCGATCTTGTTTATTTGACGTAAGGCCTTTGATTTCGATACATCACCCAGAGCAGCAAAACACCGCTCGGCAATATGCAGCTGCCTCGCCTCCAGGGCGAGGCGACTCAGTGTCTTCCACATGGCCTCTGTTTCCAACGACATCTCCAGGCTCTCAAGGAAGGCCACAGCCCTGAAAAATATTAAATAACATACTAGACGTCAGTATAAAAGGCAGATCGTGTAAGGTCCTAATCCAATTCATATTGCGAAATCACGATGAACTGCACTGCCAAATTATGTATTCCTAAAGTTATTTAAGAAAAAGAAAACATGTGCCGTGTTTCTATCGAGTTTTAGTATAATTCTGATAGCGTTCTATCACGAATGCTGTTCTCTAATTGGCTACGCTATTCACTATCTATTCTGATCTATTCTGTGATAGATAGTGAGAAGCGTAGCAGTGTGCCCTTGTTAAGAAAATGACGGCCGCTTCCTTCCGTTTTCGAAGTGTCTGTGAAGAGGATTTAGATGACGTTTTGAACGGCTAGTAGAAGCGTAGCAGTGTGCCCTTGTTAACAAAATGACGGACGCTTCTTTGCGTTCTCGAAGTGTCTATGAAGAGGATTTAGATGACGTTTTGAACGGCTAGTAGATTTATACTAAAACAATTAGATTATTTGCTCGTGATTTCTATGCGCGATAGTTGACGAGGGCGCAAGAAATCTCGAGCTCATAAAATAGAAACACCATTTTAAATCAATCAGCGCGCGTATTTTCTTTGGGCTATTTTCTTATTATACCTATTACGCAGCTACATCAAAGAGTTATTAGCTACCTTGGGAAGTCTCCATCATCAATGGCTGTACCAAACTCAATCAGTCCTTCATCCAGAGTGTAAGAGATGGTAGTCACACCTTCATTCACCAGAACCTCTGTTTTACCGTCAGCCCGCTCAAGATCAATGATGTCTCCCTGTCAAGTGAGTTTCAAACAGTCAGCATAAGACAATATTATTTTTGTACCTTCGTACAGTTTCCAATTTAATGCAAACATTGGCTAAGGGCATGTCAGTTTATCCCAAACAAGTACAAAGTGAAATTCAATTCAAAGCGGTGAAATTGGTAGTGCAAATAGGTAAATTGAAAATCAATCTTTAAATTCCCTTGTTCGAACAGTAATAATAACAGTATAATAAGATTTTACTTGAATCGATTAAACAAGGAGAAACAATGGCCCTGTCCACAGTCTACTCCTAGGAACAATGACGTAGTTGTCTGTTGTTCGACATTGTCAAAAAGTTTGGTGACAAGCTGAGTTATACTGTTGATGTGCAACAATGCATGAATAGGACATGATCACACTCTGGTATATACAGGGCTTCTCACTTACCTTGATGGGAAACATAGTGACCCTCTCAGGTGAGTCGATATTGTACCACACGCACAGATTCCCTCTGTTTTGGGCGACTACCACATCACTGAGAGGCACCCACTGTACATACGTACAGTAGTTCAGGATTGTTGTACGCACTTGCGTTTCCACATCCAGGAGATGGAGCTAAGATTAAAAAAAAAACACTCAATCAAGTCTTCTGGCTACTCCTGGCTGGTACTTAGTTCCACTTAGCATAACCTGCGATCACGATTTCCTGTTTTTTGGGTTTTTTTCGGTGGACGGTGAAAGAGCAGGCATTCTTTTTTTCCTTCTCCCCGTTCACCGAAAAAACCCCCGCCTGATTGCTGGTTATATTTAATCAGGAAAGACAAATC